ATTTCTTCACAGTATCCCAGACCAAAAGAAATTCCTAACAGCTCTGTTTATTAAGCAGTTAGGACCAAACAATTTGTGTTGTCCTAACAACTTAGGGGCTGTTTATGAAAATAATACCCATTAAATGAAAGAAAAAATATTTTAATATAAGTCTCCATAACCACTATTACTTACTAATGGGATATGTGTGTCTTCTCAGACCTTAGAGTCACATGGGACAGCACATTCTCATTTCCTGCTCCACACTGGTTTCATGTTATTTGCTTATCACAGTTGATGAAAACCCAGATTTACAAAGATATAATGCCATACAAAGGAATGTACTAAAGTCTAATGCTGAAATTGTGAACTACTTCCAGCTAGTAGTTTTCATAGTGTCCAACAAACGATATTGTGTTTTTCTGCAACATTAAAAATATTCCTCTGTGTTACTATTAGGCTGTGTGGCCTCCACATGCCTTGGCACAAAGTTGGGAATCATGGACCTGTGCTCTTTTCTTTGATTGGATCTGACTTCTTACCTCTGGTCTCAGCTCAAATGCCATCTTTCATGGAGCTTTCTCACTAAACTGGCCAGAAACAAAACACATCTGAACAAAAACCATTTCCCCACTTGAAATGAAAACTCCTTCCCCTGGGATCCTACACAGTTTAATATGTCAAAGGCATGAATTGCTTGTTCTCTGATAGTCAAGGGGTAAAACATGCCACATTTCTTTATTTTTCTAAATTAAGTAAAATCAGCTTTGAGCCCCCACTGGCTGATGTCACTGAGACTTCTAATATCTAGTGTCTTGGGGTGGCTTTCTCCTTGTTCCTGGGCTGTACCAGGACTGTGAGGTGTCACAACACACACTCCTCAGAGGCTTCCACTGCAGGGCTCACGCATCCATTCAAAAGTGGCTGCCCCTAATCTGCTGCCCCAGCGCCACACTGAGCAGAGGGGCACTCTCCTGGCTCTCAAGGCTGAAGGGGAAGGTCCCGGGGCTTGGACTACCCCTGTCCAAAGTGCTGCCCACTACAGGGCTCTGTGTGAGTGGCTTAGAAATTAGTGCCTCTCTGGGAATCTGCCACTTGGGAGAACCCGATCTCTCCCTCTGGGAAGAGGTATTAGTCCCCCACTAATGTTTGTCTGCAGGTAGCCCAGGGGCTGGATGTGGCCCTCTGATGAATTTTATTTGGTAGTGTTATTACATTTTTTGAGAACTTAAACACTGGGAGATTTCAGTTTCTACAATCAAGGTCCTTGGTCTCTGCACAGAAACCACCGGTTGGAGCTGAGTGAGGTCTGTCCCTCTGGGCAAGGCACGTGCTCTGCAGCTGGCCACATCTGTGGTGTTACTCACCGCTGCGAGGCCCGTAAGGCAGCTGGGTTTGAGACCCTGTCCTAGACTTCTGAAAACAAAGTTTCAAAAACTTGTTGGTACCTTGGCACCTTATTCTGGCCTCAAGTACAAATAACTGTTAACTCAGTCTTGGGGGCAAGGATGTACGAAACTCAATTAGTTTAGGTCCAGAGGTTCTTTGTAGGTGAGGGTGGTGGGTGGCTGCCATGGAGACCATTACTTTTTCATTCTCTGTCAATGAGTCTATAGCGACAGAAGCAGCAGGACACTGACTGATGTCTCCTTGACTCTATTTAGCACTGATTTATTTAGCCTTACGTTTTGTCATTTTTAACAAGATTAATAGCAAACATTCATTGGGCCCTTACTAGGTTCCCAGGACTAGGTAAGGACCCTTACAAATATTACCTTGTTTAGTTCTTTAGAAACTGCTTCTGAAAGAATGTAGCAGAATCTAAAGGCCCAGAGGCCAGGAGCAGGGGGTGGGGGTGAACACGGAAAAATGCAGATGTTGCATTTGGTCTGCTTAAAAGCAAAGGGAGGCAGGTACGAACTCCAAGACTGTCAGAGAAGAGGCCCAAACTCGGGGCCCCAGGCTCTCCAACAGGCCCTGGGTGTGGGGGACCCAAGTCAGCAAGCCCAGTTTCAGGGCTCTTGCGGCAGCAGGCGTACCCGACTGCTCTTGCCCCTCCCTGGTACCTCCCATTGCCTCTTCTGGCCTGGCTTGTCTGTCCCCTCTCCACATTCCTGGTCCCTCCGGGCTGCTCCCAGTCTCTATGCCGTGACCCCCAGTTCTCTCCACTCTGCTCTGCATCTGTCCCCCACCTGCCCGGCTCCTGGCGGTGCACTGTCAGGCTGCCAGCAGGCTCTCCGCCGTCACGTGACCTGTGCATAATCACAGGACTCTTCGTACCCACAGCAGATGGATGGTCCGCACCGGGCTCTGCAGAGGCTGCGGGCCGCGCATGCGCAGCTGCAGGCGCACCTGCCCTCCAGGCAGGCGGGAAGGTGGACCAGTCCAGCGCATCCTGCGGCCACTGCCCCGCCAGCGCTCAGGCTGGGCTTGGGCTCCGGACCCACCTGGGCCGGTACTCCCAAGAGGCTAGGTTCCGGTTGCTGATACCCTTCAAGCAAGATGTCCACACAGCCAAACCTCTCCCTAGGTCAGGGTACTGGGGCTGCGCCTGGGCTCTGGACTTACTCCCCAGGGCATCAGGGATCGGAACACGCGTCTCGGTCTGCGCTTAGAGCCAAGTGACCTTGGGCAGGTGACTTGACCTCCCTGCGCCCCAGGAAAATGGAATAATAACAGCATCCAACTTGGGTGGCTGTAGTGAGAATTCAATGAAAATTCATGAGAGTCTTTTGCGTGGTGGCTGGCTGCCGTCTATCAAACATCCAGGCAAATAAACATAGAGCAAAGGAACTAGTGTGATGACTGAAAGGAATTTCCCCTATCTGTAGGTAATTTCCTTAGCTCCTCAGAACCATTCTGGGGCACAGGACTGGAAGTTTATGGTCCTTGTTTCACAGATGGAGAAACCAAAACTCAGACATCAAGAGGTCTCCAACCAGGTGTTGGATTCCACATCCAATCCCCCACTCCGGAGTCAGGGATTCCTGAGTGAATTCACTGTCTGGCACCCCACTTGCTTTCCCAACCATCCTATTTAAAATAGCATCCGTTTTGCTTTTTGCCAGTCCCAGTCAACCTCTCAGGTACACATTTGCAGGGAAGGATTGCTTTCTTTGTCCTTCCCTCTGTAGAAAATAAGGAGCCGCTATATTTTATTTGCTGTGGCCCTTGAGGAGGTCCCCTATACTCTAGGCCACCCAAAAGTTCTGGAGCCCTGCAGCAAGCCTAACCCTGGGAGCTTTCCTTCCCACCCTACCCCTCAGACTTTCCCCTCTAGTCACATGGCCCCTCTCTGTCCCTGGAAAAGCGAATCCTTCCTGCACTTGGTCTTTGCACCTTCTGTATATCTGCCTAGGACACTCTCCCAGACCCCTCTTGCTACCTTTTACTCAGCTGAGGAAGCCTGACCTGACTGCACCCTACCAGGTCCACTGTGTCAGGGGCCCTGTCAGTTGCCCTCACAACCCTTGTCCTGCTTCAGCACTTATTAGGACAATAATCAATGCTGTGTGTTAAGATCCTCTCTGTCTCTTCAGCTAGAAAACCTGCTCTTTGAGGGCAATCTGCTAAGGAGGGAACATGTGGCAGCACAAGTGCATCCTGGGTCCCCTCACAGTAACAAACTCTCCCCTTCTCCAAATATCTTCCTTGGGTAAAAGACAGAGCCCAGACATGAAGATACGACAGGCGATCACTTTCTCTCTCTGTGAAGCCATAAGAAGGGTCTGTTGGGATTGACTGGGGTGGAGATGAGAAGATGGTCCAATCTTCACACTTTGGGTCTGGGGGCTGAACTAGGATATGCGGTTTCTTGCCTTGGACATTGTTCCATTGTTCACTGCATGTGACCTTGGGAAAGTCATCCTTTAGGCCTCAGCTTCATTAGTTGTTGCTCAGTATAAAATAATAGTTAAGAATTAGGTTCTAGAATTGGATCTTGCTTTTGTCCGTTACTAGCAAAAGACTTATCCTCTGTGAATTTCAATTTCCACATCTGTAAAATACTGTTGTTTCTTAATAATATTGAGAAAAGGATTTAGCTCACAAAGCTATTCCAAAAATTTAATGAGTATTCATTGATTTTATGACTTACTAGCTCTCACATCCTTTTTAAATTTTTAATTGGCTCAGCTTACTTGTTTTCCTTCAAAGCCAGAGGTGAGCCTTGTCCTATATTTCAACAAAGAAAGTCCAGCAAACACTGACCTGAGACCACCTTTGGTAGATGTGGATTCCAGGAAGGAGATGCTGAAACCAGGGTCATCCTATGGCATATGCCTATCAGACTGGAGACTTGGAAATTTCTAGACTTTGCCCAAAGACTAGAGTTTGAGTGCCTTATACATGGGTGTAGCTCCAATGTCCAGAATAGTGGCTTACGTGTACTAGTGGGAGAATAATACATATTTGCTAATGAATAATACGCAGCCTGACAAATCTAGTGCTCGATTCTCTAAGATCAGGGCTTTTTTTTTCATCTGAAAATGGAGATTAGAAACAATGTCCAATTATTATAAGGAATTAATGAGATGATGCATGTAAGGCAGGCACCTAGCATGGAACTTGACACATAAGAGCTCAGTGAATGGTGTGTTTATGGATATGGGTACCCAGAGAGAGAGATGGTGTTGATAAACCTCACGTTCTGATGGGGCTGCTAAAAAGAGATCTAGCTCTGACTTCCTTTTGGGCAGGGGGAACACGTGAGGTTCCTAGAAAGAGGAAAGACAGGGCAAGATGGAGCATGTCTGCAGCCTGTGACCAGGGATTCAGATGAGGAGGCGGCGGGGACTTTAGGACCCCGCGCCCCGGGAGCGCGCGGCCGCCCGGGGTGCGCGCAGCGCGTGAGGTGAGGGGGAGGGCGCGGCTCTCGCGCCAGCCAGGCGACCGCCTCGCGCCCAGCCGCATCTCGGCGGGCGGGGCCGAGCTCCTGGGGGGCGGTGCGATTGGCAGAGGCGCGCGGATGACGCTAACGGCTGGTGCGAGGCCCCGCCTCTGCGCGCGCCACGGGTCGGAGCCTCGCTCTGGCCGGCGCCGCGCCCCCGCGTCCCCGCGCCGACTCCAGGCTCCAGTCGGTCCCGAGCGCGGCGGCTGGGCGGCGGGTTGCAGCGGCGGAGCGTGCGAACCCGGGCAGGCGTCGGGGTCCGCGGCGTCGCGCGAGGAGACTAGGAGCCGGGAGACTCGAGCAGCGCGATGGCCCCCATTGGCCTCAAAGCGGTGGTGGGAGAAAGTAAGTGGAGTCGGGGTCCTCTCGCGGGCGGGGGCTGCAGCGGGCCTGGAGGAGCCGGGCGCTCTACCTGCCCGCGGCGCCCGGCCTCCGCGCTGGCTGCTCGCCCCGCCCGGCCGGGGCTCCCTGCGGGAGGTCCCTTTATTCCGGCGCCTCCCTCCACCGAGGGAAGTCCTCCGGGCGGCTGCGGCCGGCGCCCGCGTCTTCTCTTCCCCAGCTCGCCTCCCTTCCCGCATTCCGCCCCTACGCCTCCCCTACTGACTCACCCCACCTGGTTCTCCTCTTCCCTCCCCTCATCTCCGTCCCCCTTTCCTTCCATCCCCCGCGCCCCATCGCTCCATCTCTCTCCTTCACCCCATCTTCCCCTTTTCACACCCTTTTCTCTCCTTCCCCCCGGCCCCCTGCACCCCGCGTTTGGCCCCTGCAGCCCATCCCCCTCCATTTCTCGCTCCCGTTACCTTCCCTGCATTTCCCCTCGCCCCTTCCTCGCCTTCTTTATTCCCTAAGCCCCCCCGATTCCGTGCCTTTTTCTGTCTCGAGTCCCTCCCTCTTTCCCACTTTCCTTCTTGAATCGTGACGAGCTTTAAAACCCCGGCCTGCGCCTCCTCCCAGTTGCTCCTCCTTCCTTGGGTGCCCGAGACTCGGCTCTCGGCCGCAGAGATCCACCTGGGAGCGGCTCCGCGCGCACCGGCTCCCCGCGCCGCGCACTCCCGGCCACCGGAGAGCGCGAGCCGGTCTCCAAAGGCTCGGCTCTGGAGGGCCGAGGCCGCCTCCTTCCCCCTCGCGTTCCAGGGCCTGGACTTCCAGGGCGGGGTCTCATCAGGATCCTGAACCCTCTGAAATCACCCCGGGGGTGTGCAGGGCTTTAGTGTGCAGCGCGAGGAGTGACTGCCCAGCTGCGCAGTCTGCAGTCCCCCGGTGTGCAGCTCTCAGCCCTGGCTCGGCTGCACGTTTCGGGCAGTTCGAACCATCGTTGCAGGGAGGCAATGGTTGGGTTTGGATCAAAGGCTCAGCGTAAATGGATTTAAAACAGTGGATGGTGCCGAGTGTCGGCTGTAGCGGAGGGAGGACTCTTGGTGATAATATTTAGAAAACAGCATCCTCAGTACTAAGAAAGATTCGTGCTATGTGCAGACAAATACTGCCTCTTCAGTATTTGGGCTATTTCTTTAACAAAAATGTGTAGGAATTGTTGTGGCTTTTGCTGCCTCTTTTGGAATTAAGAGAAAATTAAAACTGGGGTTTTCTCTGTAAGAGGGAATAAGAAGGGAGATACAAAAATGGTGGAAATTAGTTTCCTTTCCAATGATTCCTATTATAATGCTCTCTTTCTTTCCTGTTATAGCTCCCTCTTTGCTGCCAAATGGTTTTGGCTGTGTAGTGTTCCTTTTGAGCATTGTAACTATTTTTTTTCTTCCCCATTAGAAATATTCCCGCTTGTGCAACCTTACCTGATTTATTACATCGGAAGAAAATTACTGTAAATTCTGAACCCCAAATGGGCAAGTTTTTTAAAAAGTGCCCACTGTAACACCTGCCTTCCCCTGTGCAGTAAAGGTTCTGAATCACATACGGTCTATTTTCTAAGGAGAACCAAGGTGTTTAGGGATGGAAGGACCCATAGGGATCCTCTTAAGTCAACACCCTCATTTTACCCGTGGGAAAGAAAAGGAGGCTCAGAGCAGTTAAATGAGTTACCAAAATCAGTGTTAATTAATTTTTTAAAACCTGGTGTCCATTTCCTTGCAACATGAGTGAAAAATACTTTCTTCATTATTTTATATATGCCATTTCCTTCTAATACCCTTTTTAAATAAAGGGTGATGAAATATGGAATATTAATGTTACATTATTTCAACTGTTATATTTGAATACAGTGCTTTTAAAACAGTCCTTCATTGTTAGAGAAATCAAGTTTTTGCATCCTTTTACCAGGGCCCTTGTTCATGCAGGTAGCTCCTAAGGTCCTCCCCGTGCCCCCCCCCCCCTTTTTTTTTTAAGAAAAACATAAAAGGTTAAAAAAAAATCAATATGCAATATGGCCAAAATTTCTTCTTTGAAATGAAGCAAAGCCAGTGCTTATTAAATTAAAACCTCACCAGTTTTACATGAACCTGGTGGATGTGTGAATAGCATCTTTTTCTGTAACAATTGAGTTATGTATACATTTTGGAAAAAAATATTACAGCAATTCTTTGTCAATGACACAGGTTAATTGTGGCTCTTAATTTTGGATGGGGTTTCTAGCCTTTCCTTTTTTCTCTTTTCTAAAAATAAAAGCAAAGATGTGTTTTAACCAGCATGCACCAGTTTAAATGTCACCTTCACAGCCTGGTCTTCCCAGTAAAAGTTAACCTCACAGTCACTGTTACTCATATTTGCTCACTTAATTTTCTTCATAGCACTTAAAATGATCTGAAATGACCTTGTAAATGTAGTTCTTGATCTCGTGTCACATCCTCCTGAGTTGTTTTAGAGGCAGGTGTTACAGTGGGCATTTTAAAAAATTTGCTCATTTGGGATTCAAAATTTACAGTATTTTTCTTCCAATGTAATAAATCAGGTAAGGTTGCATAAGTGGGAATATTTCTATATATCAAAGAAAATAAGGTGGGTTTTTTTGGTTGGTTGGTTTTTGGGTTTTGATTGATTGTTTCATCTACTCGAATACCGCTTGCAGAAGAGCAGGGTCTTTATCTGACATGTTCACTACTGTGTCTCATGTCAAGATTGGTGGCTCGCTTATAGTCGGCAGTCAATAAATAATTTTTGAATGAATGAATGAATGAAGGATATGAGGGAGAGAAAGGTGAATGTAGTTCTTGGCCTTGTGTCACATCTTGAGCTGAGTTTTAGAGTGACAGTAGCACAAAAAAAGTAGAGAAGATGGGTCAGCTTTAGCTGTTCATTCAACCAGTGTTTGTTCAAAGCCTGCTAGGAACTGTGGGGGAATACAGGGACTCATGCTGTAATGACAGCCAAAGACAATCCTAGAAGCTTTCTCTATATCACACCTTCCTGACAAAGGGAGGTATACTCAGTGTATTGCACTTCATGTTGCTCTTACCCAGCTAGACCTGAAGTTCCGTTGGGGGACAGTAGGACCTTGTCTTACTCTTAGGTCTATCCTTGGTGCATGAATTAGTGCTTGGTACTCAGTAAATGTTGAGTGAATCTTTATGTATACACCCATGCAGAGAAAGGGCTCTGGAATTAGACTATTTGGGTAAAATTCTGATCTGCTACTAATTAGCTGCTTGACTTTGGTAAATAAAGGAACCTTTTGTGCCTCAATTTCTTCATCTATAAAATGGGTAACAGCACCGACCTTGTGCAGTTCTATGAATATTAAATAAGCTAGTGCATGTATAGCATTTAGCACCATTCTTGGCATGTACATCATTGTATGTAAGGTTGTGCTTTTGGTATCCTAAGAAATTTTTGCCTAGCCCAAGTTAAGAAAGATTTCTGTTTTATATTATTTTCTGTGTTTTCTTTTAGACGCTTTATAATTTCAGGCCTTATGTTTAGTCTTTGATCCATTTTGATTTAATTTTTGTGTATCCTGTGAGTTATGACCAAGGTTCATTGGTGTGTGTGTGTGTAAATTTTTTTTTTATGTGAATGTCCAGTTGTTCCAACGCCATTTGTTGAAAAGGCCATCCTTTTTTTTCATTGAATTGTCTTTGTTCTTTGTAGAAAATCAGTTGGCCATAAATATGGGTGGGCCCATTTCTCAACTCCCTGCTCTGGTTTCATTGATCTACATGTATTCTTTGACCAACACCCACTCTGTCTCAATTACTGGAGCTTCAAAATAAGACTGAAAACCGGGTATTGTGAGTGTTCTCTAACTTTGTTCTTCTTTTTCAAAGTTGTTTTGGCTCCCTTAGTTCATTTGCTTTTCCGTATAAATTACAGAATCAGCTTACCTAGTTCTATTTTAAAAATCTTTCTGGGATTTGATTGGAATTGTGTTAAACCTATACATCAGTTTGGGGAAAATTGGCATTTTGTCAGATGTACTTTTTAGTTCTTGGCTATATTGCAATGTGAAAATCATAATTCTTAGTTTCACAAATAAGGGAGCAACCCTATGATAAGGAGAATTGCATATGGTTTAACAAGGGTGCAAGATACAAAGTCAGTTTACAAAAGCCAGTTGTATTTCCGTATGCTAGCAACGAACAATTAGAAATTGGAATTAAAAATAGTATCATTTACAGTAGAACAAAAAACCACGAATATTTAGATATAAATCCTACGGAATATGTTCTAGATCTGTGTTCTGAAAGCTACTAAAACACTGATGAGAGAAAATGAAAGAAGGCGTAAGTGAATGGAGCGAGATCCCATATTCATGGATTGGAAGAATTTATGTTACATTTATTCTTATTTCACTATTTTTTTTAAATACATGTTTTCAGTTCTCTTGCTCAGGTACCTAGGAATAGAATTGCTGGGCCATATGTTAACTCCATATTTAACTTTTTGAGGAACTGCCAACCTTTGGGCTTTCCAAAGTGACTGCACTATTTTAACATTCCCATCAGCAGAGTATAAGGGTCCTAGTTTCATGCCATCCTTGCCAACACTTGTTACCTTTTTTATTATGGCCATCCTTGTGGGTGTGAACTGGTATCCCATTGTGGTTTTGATTTGCATTTTCATGATGGCTAGTGACCCTGAACATTTTTTCATGTGCTTATTGGCCATTTGTATATCTTCTATGGAAAGATGTCTACACAGATTCTTTGCCCATTTTTAAATTAGTTTACATTTCTAATCTACATATTGTTTTCATTTGAAGCTCTTATGTTTACTTTTCCTTTTAAACGTTAAAGTGGAAAGCTTCAATGAATGATAAATATGTACTTACATCTGACAGGTTAATCTATTTCTTTAATGTTCTACTTTCTGTCCCTTTTTCTGTGTACTTCTGATAAAAAACTACCTTTTCTTGTAATAATAGTGATTCGATGACCCTCTACACAATTCTCATT